AAAAAAAAAAAAAGAAAGAAAGAAAGAAACAAAAACAAAAAACAAATTAGAATTCCAAACCAGGTCCATTCATTGCAAGTGGTTAATATGCACTTTAGTTTCCTTTTACTCTGTTGGTCTTCTCTGCTGTCCCCACTTCCTCTTTTTCTAAAATTTGCAACTTATTTGTTAAAGTAACTGGGTAGTTGGACCTGTAGCATTTTCTCCAGTCTGAACTTTGCTGATTTCATCTTCAGGGGATCATTTTGCATTCTCCCACCCCATTTCCCCATTTAAAGTTTAGATCAGTCTGGGCCAATTATTTGGCAAACTGACTTCAGCAGAAGGCACAGAATGTCTGTTGGTCTCTCCTTTTTTGTTAATAGCCATTGATGACTGCCTTGATCTGTTGCTTCGTTAGAGGTGACTGAGTTTTTCTTCTGTTTTATTTATTTTATTTTATTTTTTGAGACAGAGTCTTGCTCTGTCATCCAGGCTTGAGTGCTGTGGTGCGATTTCGGCTCACTGCAGCCTCTGCCTCCCAGGTTCAAGCAATTCTCCTACCTCAGCCTCCTGAATAGCTGGGATTACAGGTGTGCACCCCAATGCCTGGCTAACAGGTGTGAGCCACTGCACCCTGCGGTGTATGTTTAACTTTTTAAGGAAATTTTCTAAAAAAATTTTTTTCCAAAATTCCAAACAGGTTCTTCTATTGTACATGCCCACCAGCAGTGTATTAGAGTTCCAGTTGCTCCACATTCTCGGCAGTACTTGATCTAGTCTATTTTAGTCATTCTAATGGTGTGTAGTAGTATATTATTGTGATTTTAATTTAAACCTTCCTAATAACTAATGACATTGAGCATCTTTTCATGTGCCTGTCATCTGTATATTTTCTCTGGTGAAATGTCTGTTCAAATCTTTTGCTTGTTTTCATTGGATTGTTTGTTTTCTAACTGTTGATATATGATTTGCAAATATTTTCTTCCAGAATATGACAGCCCTTTCATTTTCTTAACAGTGTCTCTCAAAAGCAGACATTTTTTTTCATATATATATATGTATATATATATATATATATTTTAGAGACGGGGTTTCACCATGTTGGCCAGGATGGTTTCGATCTCTTGACCTCATGATCCGCCCACCTCAGCCTCCCAAAGTGCTGGGATTACAGGTGGGAGCCACCGCGCCCAGCCGAAAACAGACATTTTTCATTTTGGTGAAATCCAGTTTATCAAGCTTTTCTTTGGTGGGTTGTGCTGTGTTGCCATAATAAGAACACATTATGAGTGGCTATAATGTTCCGTGGCAACTTGTCCCACATACATCACTTTCCATCCCAAGCCACATCCCTCAAACCGAGGTAGGAAACTATCTCCAAGAGGAAAGATAAAACCTGTAGTGTATTGGTCAACTCCTACCTCTTACCTTTACCATCCTCTTCCCCCAGAACTGGCGAGTCCCTTCCCTGACCCAGGGGTAGGGTAGAGTCAGGGTTGTGTTTGTCGAGAGGGTGGCACAGCACAGCATTAAGGACCTTTTCCATGCAGGCTTTCTCACTGACTGGTTGTAAGACTTTGGGCACCTCTCTCAAATTCAGTATCTTCCTCTGAAAATTAGAGGTGATAATGGGCCTACCTTCCAGGCTGCTATAAAGATGAAAGGAGTTAGGGCAGAGAGCATGCACAAGCACCAGCAGCTAGTAGTATTCTCAGGTTAGCTGGTATTACAAATCTTGGCTGGAGGCCCTAACTAATCCTCACTCCACTCTTGTCTTTTCAGACGGATGTTGGGTTTATCTACCATTCTCCAGGTAGGTAACACTTATGACAAATATTTATGTCTTCTGAGAAAAATCAGGCCAGGGGTCAGAATACCTTAAAATCCCCATATGTCTAACACATAGGTGGAGGAGAGTATTAGAGGTTGTAAATTATTTTCTGTATTTGATAATATTTTACCGTACATTGTGGTATTTTTATTTATTTTATTTTTTGAGATGGAATCTCACTCTGTCGCCCAGGCTAGAATGCAGTGGCATAATCTTGACTCACTGCCAACTGGGTTCAAGTGATTCTCCTGTCTCAGCCTCCTGAGTAGCTGGGATTACAGGCATGTACCACCACACCTGGCTAATTTTTATATTTTTAGTAGAGACATGGTTTCACCATGTTAACCAGGCTGGTCTTGAACTCCTGACCTCAGGTGATCCGCCCACTTGAGCCTCCCAAAGTGCTGGGATTACAGGTGTGAGCCACCATGCCTGGCCTATTTTACTTTATAATAATAATATCTTTCTCTGAAAAACTCAGGACATACTTTTGGGTCAAATGCTAGCCTTTTATTACAATCGTGGCATAGATTTCTATTTTTTGAGGCCAGTATTGGGAGATTGAAGTTTGAGTGGAAGTTTCCACCTTACCTGGCTATAACATACACACCAGGTTGAGGAAAATGCTTGCCTCTACAGTGTCTGGTTCCAGACCAGGCCACAGTGAGAACAGTAGCTTCCCAAGGCATAAACAGGGGTCCCTGTTTCCTAGAGGCAATAGCTGGTAGCCTTGTGAGCACACTATCATTGCTTCATGGTGTGAATGACTCCCCTTTTTCTCTGCCGCTGGATAGAAAACAGACTGCCTGAGACATATTTCCACCTTCCCCTCCTCCTTAAACAAAGACTGCTTTCAGGGCAGAGGAAAGGAGACTGGAGGCGGATCTCCCATGGCCCTTCTGCCTCTCCAGGTCACACACTCCTAAGGAAATGGCTAGGCCTCTGCCAGCCAAACAACCCCAGCAGTGGTGTGAGAGGCTACTTGAAAGTCACCATCTGTGCCCTCGGTGTGGGAGATCAGGCCCTGGTGAGCTGCCCCTAATGCCCCAGGAATCTTTCCTGGCTGCCTCCTGAGGGTACCCCTGGGCCCCACCCTGGACATTGACCATCATATCTCTCCTTTGTCTGCTACATCACTGCAGGGTTGTCCCATCCCCCCTGCATCAAGTGGGAGGTTGGGGAAGCAAAATCTGGTGGCTTTGCCTGTAACCTTCTCATGACCTTGACCATATCAGCTGTCTGGTCTTTCCAGGTAGATCAAAAGTTGCTCTATGGGGCTGATGACACCGATATTCAGATCTTCAAGTCAGCGGCAGTCCCGATCAACATGGCTTACTTACAGTTCTTCATCTACTGTGCAGAGGACCTTCACCTCAGTTAGAGTCCGGGTGCAAGGGAGGGAGCAGCCCTGAGGTTCCCTACACAGTGGTAGCCTGGATCCTCATGGAGTTTCCTCATTCCTTTTGACACTAAACTAAGATTTGGGGTTGGGGGACAGAGTGAGACTGGAATGCCCCAAGACTTGTCCTATGGAGGTGCCATGGACACCCTTTCAAATGGGCCTCACACCCACAGCCTGTCTATGATGGCCAGATGCAGACTCAAGGCTCCCTATGTCCCCCTATCCCATCCCATTGTGTGGAAGAAGGGGCACAGTGGTAACTAGAGACAGGTCTGCCCAGGGGGAACCCCTCTAAATTATAGAGGAGGGTTTCCAGTTGCTCTATCCTATTTCAACTGTTTTCAGTTCTTCCACCCTATTTCCTCCTCCTGAAAAAATTTGCTGCTGGCTCAGATGTCTTTTAACTTCTTGTTCATAGAGAAACACCAGTCAATGAATCCTCAGTTGGAGGTGGAACTAATTGGGAAAAAGGTAAGTGTAGAAATGTTCTGAGACCTGGAGAGATTGGCACCTAGAAAAAGTAGTGTGGGCTGGGCTAGGTGGCTCATGCCTGTAATCTCAGCACTTTGGGAGGCTGAGGTGGGCAGATCACAAGGTCAGGAGTTCAAGACGAGCCTGGCCAATATGGTGAAACCCCATCTCTACTAAAAATACAAAAATATTAGCCAGGCATTGTGGCGTATGCTTGTAGTCCCAGTTACTTGGGAGGCTGAGGCAGGAGAATTGCTTGAACCTAGGAGGCGGAGGTTGCAGTGAGCCAAGATCACGCCACTGCACTCCAGCCTGGGTGACAGAGTAAGACTGTCTCAAAAAAAAAAAAAGAGAAAAAGTAGTGTGGAGGAGGAGAGTGGCCCAGTGGGCAAGACCATAGGAATCATCTCCCAGTCACCCACTGATGGCAGCATGCACCCCTGCACCTGGAACTCTGTGCAGGCAGAGGCCATGTTTTATTCTCTGCATGCCAGATGACCCCCAAAGCCCAAATACACGTGGAAGAATGAGTGACTGAATGAAACATGCCAACAAGTGAACATTAAAACTGTCACTATCCCTCTGGGCCTCAGTTTCTTCATGTGTAAACGAAGATTCTGGGCAAGAGAGTTGCTGACATTCCATGAACTTCTATGAATATGGAATAGCATTTTCCAAAGTGTGCTGATGGGTGTCATGGGTAAAAAAGGGTCATATGTTCAAATTTGGAGAATGCTAGCTTAAAATTAAATAGATTTGTCTCCAAATTTACCAAGCATAATTTTTGCCATATTCTATTTGTTGCAAGCAAGTTGTTAAATCTGGCCCACACATAAGAAGGGATAAATTAATGTTTTTGGTTTTTTTTTTTTTTTTTTTTTTGAGAAGGAGTTTTACTCTTGTTGCCCAGGCTGGAGTGGAATGGCACCATCTCGGCTCAACCTCAACCCCCACCTCCCAGGTTCAAGTGATTCTCCTGTCTCAGCCTCCTGAGTAACTGGGATTACAGGCATGAGCCACCACACCTGGCTAATTTTGTATTTTTAGTAGAGATGGGGTTTCATCATGTTGGTCAGACTGGTCTTGAACTCCTGACCTCAGGTGATCTGCCTGCCTCAGCCTCCCAAAGTGCTGGGATTACAGGTGTGAGCCGCTGCTCCCTGCCAATTTCTATCTTTTGAAGGGAGGAGTACCAAAAAATTTGTGGACATATTTAAAACCACCATATTATTTCCCAGTGAGTGGTTGGATACCCCCAAAGCTAGGTGAAATGTTCTCGGGTGGTAAGTGACACACATTTTTCAAAAGTTTGATATTTCTGTGTTCATCTTAGTATATCTTAAAAAGTTTAATAAGGTCAAGTATCATTAATTCAAGAAAGATGTTCAGAAAAAAAAAATAAAAAAAAATAAGGTCAATATCACTTGGTTTCGTAGATACCACTGATTAAAAATGAAGTCAATTGGTTTTAAAAGAGGTATGCTGCTGCCATTAGCTGTGTTTTTGCCCATTTTTCTTTTGGGATCTTAGATTTATCTAACAAAGTCTATGTGTATATACTCATATATTAAGATTAATAGCCCTACATCAATTTAAAAATGAAGTCTACTAAAAGCTGACTTAAGGAAAAATATGAGGAATCTGAATGTGGCAAACACTTCAGATAAACACACAAAGGACTGATGCTATTGCTGCTGAGAAGTTGTGCAGGTGTCTTGAGAGCAGGGATTAGCCCAAGCACCTCTGTGCTGTAGACAGTATCTGCTGGGGTGGGGGCTGGACAGGAAGAGCTGGAAGGTGAGGCCAGTGGAGGGAGGAGGGGGCAGGCTGGCACCAACACTGCTTTGGGACATTCCAGCTCAGGACACACATGCAGACCCAAACCGACAACCCGATATGGAACCAGATCCTGACCTTCCAGATTCAGGTACAGTGCCTCCATCATGCCCGCCCTTCTCCCACATCCCCCAACGTAGAAGGGAGGTTTGGATGTTTGTGTGGGGGTGAAGACAGAAGGTGGGGACCGAGAAGCACATCAAGGGGGACTCTGCCTGATAGGGAGCATGAGGAAGCCCAGGACCTGTTATGGAAAACTTTACTTTTTACAGCTTTACTGAGGTATCGTTGACATACAGTGACTTGTACATATTTAAAATGTACAATTTGGATGGGCACGGTGGCTTATACCTGTAATCCCAGCACTTTGGGAAGCTGAGGCAGGTGGATCACTTGAGCTCTCGAGTTCAAGACCAGCCTGGCCAACAATGGTGATACCTGACTCTACTAAAAAGATAAAAATTAGCTGGGCGTGGTGGCATGCACCGGAGGGTGAGACAGGAGAACTGCTTGAACCCGGGAGATGGAAGTTATAGTGAGCTGAGCCCAGGTAGTATCACCGACTTATCTGAGCAAACGTTTCAGCTAAGTAGGTGATAACAGCCTGTTGAGCAAGCCAGAGCCACTGCACTCCAGCCTGCACAACAGAGGGAGACTCAGTCTCAGAAAAATAAAAAATAAAAAAGAAAGAAAGAAAATGTATAATTTGATACATTTTAAAATATGTACACATCCAGGAAACCCATCATCACAATCAACATAATGAATATATCATCCCCAAAAGCTGCCTAATGCCCCTTGGGCATCCCTCCCTGTGATTCCCATTCCACCCCCTTTCATCCCCAGGCAACCACCAATCTGCTTTCTAGTTATTACATATTACCTTGCATTTCCTAGTATTTCATAGAAATGGAATCATTCAGTAAGTACCCTTATTCGTCTGACTTCTTTCACTTAGCATAATTATTCTGAAATTCATCCATGCTGTTGCTGTGTATCAGTGATTCATTCCTTTTTGTTGCTAATATTTCATTGTATGGATGTACCACAGTTTGCTTATCCCTTCCCTTGTTTAAGAACATTTCCAGTCTGGGGATGTTACAATGAAGCTGTAAACACTTGTATACAACGCTTAGTGTAGACATATGCTTTCCTTTCTCTTAAGTAAATACGTACACACAGAATGACTAGATTCTATGATAGGTGTATGTTTAACTTTATCCAGTATTAAGCAATGAGTGGGTCATACAACTGAACTCTCTAGATAACTTAAATGTGCCCTTTCACCCACATATAAAAACAAAAGCAGGCCGGGTTCAGTGGCTCACGCCTGAAATCCCAGCACTTTGGGAGGTGGAGGTGGGTGGATCAGCTGAGGTCAGGAGTTAGAAACCAGACTCACCAACATGGAGAAACCCCGTCTCTACTAAAAAAAAAAAATTAGCCAGGTGGGGTGGTGCATGCCTGTAATCCCAACTACTCGGGAGGCTGAGGCAGGAGAATTGCTTGAACCCGAGAAGCAGAGGTTTCAGTGAGTGGAGATCACGCTATTGCACACCAGCCTGGGCAACAAGAACAAAACTCCATCTCAAAACAACAACAACAACAAACAAATCCCTTTAAAGACACATTTTAAATGATAATATGCATTTTCTTATCTTCTCAGCAACGAGCCTTGAATATAATTAGAGCTTTTTGTTGATAGCCTGGAGCCACTGTGAGAGCATAGTTATTATCCTGGGCTATCTGCAGTACCTGGCTGTTTCTACACTAAATGGCTCCAAGCTGCTCTTTGTGGGGTTCTGTAGTCTGATTTTGACCGTCTTTCAGTCTGTCTCCGTCACCTATCAGCTGTTGTGGATGACAGTTCTCTTGAAGGTGGAGCCTTACTGGCTTTTGACTCTTAAGTCAGGCTTCTACGAGCTGTGTGTAAAATAAGAGCACAGTTCTGAGAGATAACTTGAGCTCTCTCATAAGTGCAGGCATGCAGAAATTTGTGTGACATGGAAAGTGTTTCGCTTTCTCATACCTGACATTGTGAAATATGAAATTAGCTAATGAGCTCCCCTTCTCCATCCTGCGAATTCCCCTCCTTGCTGCTTCTAGTAGCTTCCCAGTCTGCCTCCTTGTGAGTCATGATTTTCAACCATTCCTCATAATCCCTGCCTCCTTGGATTATTTTATATACTCTGAAAGTAGGAAGACATTTCAGAGGAGGCCTAGTCCATCCCCCATCCTTGCCAAGCTCCCTCCCGCCTTTTCCAGCCTGTGGTGAGGACTCAGGGCCAGGATCCTCAGATGCTCTGTGGCTTCTCAGAGCCTTGGGAAATCCTTGTGTTCATCCTTTTTTTTCCCCTTAGACAAAGTTTCACTCTTGTCACCTAGGCTGCAGTCCAATGGCATAATCTCAGCTCACTGCAACCTCTGCCTCCTGGGTTCAAGTTATTTTCCTGTCTCAGCCTCCTGAGCAGCTGGGACTGCAGGCGCCTGCCACCACACCCAGCTAATTTTCATATTTTTAGTAGAGATGGGGGTTTCACCATGTTGGCCAGGCTGGTCTTGAACTCCTGGCCTCAGGTGATCTGCCCACCTTGGCCTCCCTAAGTGCTGGGATTACAGGTGTGAGCCACTGTGTCCAGCTGTGTTCATCTTCTTACAGGCCAATGGCACAGGCCAGGCCCTCCCTCATCCCTGAGAAAGGTCTTCCAACATGTGAAGATGTCCAAACATCCCCTGGACCCTCACACATTTTCCCCAGAACACAGTCTCCAGGGTGGGGCCCTATGGGTACAGGCCTGATTGTCCCTAGCCCTTTGGAAATGCAGCAGGCAGGTATGAATCTCACTCTGAGAAGGCAGAACAGCCAACCACACAGATGGTAGCATCTGAGGCCAGGTGGTCAGAGGGAGAGCAGAGCCCGGAGCATTGCAGAAAACTGGCCTGTGCCAGTGGTCAGTCCGAGGGCCCCAGGGCAGAAGGGGAGGCAGTACACTAGATGAGGAACTGAGAAGCAGAAGGAGAATTCTTAGCAGGATGGATGGAAAGGTGTTTCCGCCATAAATCTGAACTTCGAGGATTCTTAACTTTGGAAGACCTGGATGCCTTCTGGTGCCCATCTCTGCCTTTCCAATGTCCTTCCTTAACCTGGGCAATTTCTTTCTTTCTTACTAGCTGCTCACCTGGAAAGCCCTTTCCTCTTCTCCTTGGCCCCTTAGCTGTCAGGACACCGGGAGAATTGGATGAAGAAAATGGAAAGCTGGGCCGGGCGTGGTGGCTCATGCCTGTAATCTCAGCACTTTGGGAGGCCGAGACAGGTGGATCACCTGAGGTCAGGAGTTCAAGACCAGCCTGGCCAACATGGTGAACCCCTGTCTTAAAAAAAAAAAGAAAATAGATTTCAGCATTGGCCGGGCACGGTGGCTCACACCTGTAATCCAAGCACTTTGGAGGCCAAGGCAGGCGGATCACCTGAGGTCGGGAGTTTATGACCAGCCTGACCAACATGGTGAAACCCTGTACTTTAAAAAAAAAATTTTTTTAATTAAAAAAAAAAAAAAAAGAAAATGAGAATAATAATAGCACCTGGTTTATGAGGTTTTTGGGAGCGCCCACCCAGCTTGACTGTGGAATTTATTTAGCACAAGCCAGGGGCAACAGACACCCTCCTAAAGCAGTAGCTATTATTATTTACTCTTTGGGGAGACAAAGAGTAAATAATAATATACAGTAAATAATAATATAATGTCCACCACAGTCAGGGCGGACCCAGGTCTCTGAGGGGCCTGAAGCGTATGCAATTAGGGGACTTTTTTTTTTTTTTGCCCAGGTTGGAGTGCAGTGGCACAATCATGGTTCACTGCAGCCTCAACCTCATGGGCTCAAGCAGTCCTCCCACCTCAGCGTCCCAAGTAGCTGGGACTATAGGTGAGTGCCACCACACCCAGCTAAGTTTTGTATTTTTTGTAGAGGGAGGATTTCATCATGTTGCCCAGACTGCTCTAGCTATCTGCCCACTTCAGCCCCCAAAGTGCTGGGATTACAGGTGTGAGCCACTATGCCTGGCCAGGGGGCCATTTTAAGAATGAAAATACAAAATGATTATGTGACAAGTTCCAGGCCCAACCCAGAACCTTGCAAGGGGCCCATTCAAATGGGAGGCCCAGCTGGGCAAGGTGGCTCACATCTGTAACCCCAACATTTTGAGAGCCTGACACAGGAGGATTGCTTGAGCCCAGGAGTTCAAGACCAGCTTGGGCAACATAGTAAAGCAGTCGTCTCTATAAAAAAAGTTATTTTTAAATTAGCCAGACTTGGCGGCACATGCCTGTAGTCTCTCTCAGCTACTTAGGGGGCTGAGGTAGGAGGATCGTTTGAGCCTGAGAGGTGTAGGCTGCAGTGAGCTATGATCATGCTACCGTACTCCATCCAGTCTGGGTGACAGAGACCCTGTCTCAAACAAAACAAAACAAATCCCCAGAAAACAAATAAGAGGTTCTAAAGCCGAAGCTCCACTCGCTGGGTGGTAAATCCAGCTTTTCTATGGCTCACTGGTAACTGAGCCAGGACTTGGACCCAGACCTCCGACTCCCTTACCTGCTCTTAAAATCTGCACGGGGACCAGCCCATGCGAATATGCACCCACTGCTCCTCTCTCCTTCCCACCCCCGCAGCTACCCTGCCTCTCCAGCTACATCAAGTTCAGAATCTTGGACTGGTGAGTAACCTGATGGAGGCTGAAGCACACAGGGAAGGAGGAAGGAAATGAGAGCTGGGCCGGGGGTTCAGCTTGTGGAGTGTGTTTCTCCCCAGCCACAGGAAGGACTGCTCGGATGAGATTGGGACTGCCAGCCTGTTCCTCAACCAGATCTCGTCCACCGGAGAAGAGATTGAAGGCAAGCAAAGCCTCGAGCCCACTTCCCATGCCCTTCGTCCTGCACTGGACCCCTCTCACCCTCTCTCCTTTCAGGAGTGTACTCTGGCTTCCTGCCCTGCTTTGGCCCCAGCTTCCTGACTCTGCACGGGGGTAAAAAGGCCCCTTTCAGGATCCAGGAAGAAGGCGCTGTAAGCTTCTCTTGTCAGCTCTAGGGGACAGCGGAGGTAGAACCGCCCCATGTAAAGCACTGGGGTCTGGGACGTGCCCCGAGACCCCGGCGCTGGTTCCTGTCCCCCACGGTCTTATGGAGGACATGAAGCCCATCCATGAGCAGCCACGTGCATGTGGGACAGGTGTGGGGCCACAAGAAAGAGGCAGACTTTCCTGTCTCCGTCTAAGCCAGTTCGAGTTGGGTTTCAGGCATTTCCCCGCCATTCCTGAATAACCCGGTGCTTCCTCACACTTGCCTGTGCTATGTCCTCTGTCCTGTGCGCCCTTCCCACTTACTGAAAAGGGGCAGGGGACCCTGATGGAAAAGATACGGTTTCAGTTTAGGAAATGCCTAATCTGGGCCAGGTGGCTCACGCCTGTAATCCCAGCACTTTGGGAGGCTGAGGTAGGAGGATCATTTGAGACCAGCCTGGGCAACATGGTGAAACCCCGTCTCTACTACAAAAAAAAAAAAAAAGAAAGAAAAAGAAAAGTTTATCTGGGCGTAGTGATGTGCACCTGGAGTCCCAGCTACTAGGGAAGCCCTGTTCCCTGAGGAAGGGGCTTTAGGAGATGACCACGGGTAAGATTTTCAGCAGGTGGGAAGGGCGCGAAGGACAGAGGACACAGCACAGGCAAGTGTGAGGAAGCACGGAGTTATTCAGGAATGGTGATAAATCCCAGAAACTCGATTCGAATTGGCTTAAATGGAGACTAGAACAAGGTTGGATGGGATGCTGAGGAAGATCCAAAGGCACCGTGCTTCGAGGCCACTAGGAGGCTCTCACTTTCTGGCCCTCGCCTCATTCCCTCCTCCCTCACTCAGGCCTCTGGTCTGGGAACTTCATACGCAGTCTCCAGCCCGGAAGGCCAGGGAAGCATTCTAATTGGCCTCCTTAGGTCATGTGTGCTCCCCTTGGACCAATCACTGTTGCCAAGGAGGCAGGGCAGGCTGATTGGCCAGGCGGGAGCGCAAACTCAGTGGTTACCACAGTTCCTGCCCACCCTGAAGCACTGTGGGAGCTTGGTCTTTCATGCGGTGGGCAGCCCCCTAGGGTGCAGAAGAGGGCTCAGTGCCCAGAGGTTTCCCGTCGTGGAGGCATCTGAGGTGTCTGGAATTCTTCTCTGGGATTGTGGTTGGAGTCAGCCCCAGGCCGGCAGTGACTGGACAGCCTTGTCTTTCCCTCAGGGGTTTCAAAGGAGATTGGCCTGTTCTTTTTCTCTCATACCTTTGCTTTCCTCTCGCTTGCCCCAGTGTATTCCTGACTCTGTTAGGGATGGTTTAGCTTATCGAGGCCGAGTCTTCCTGGAGTTAATCACCGAAATCAAGTTCCATCAAGACTCCACGATAAAGGATCTCTCCCATGAAGTGACCAGGATAGAGGTAACTGCGGGAAACAGGTAACCCAGGAAAAAAAAAGAGCCCTGTCTGCCGCGGATCTACTGTGGATCCCAGTTTCTGACCATTCAAAGAGGCCCTGGCCACAAGCTGTTGGGAGTGTAAGGATGCTTAATCAATTGATCTGATTATTTACTAAGCCCCTACGGTGGCTTCGTGCTGCACCAAATCCCAGGTGGTTAGGGGACCCTGATGGAAAAGATAAGGTTTCAGTTTATGAAATGCCTAATCTGGGTCAGGCGCGGTAGCTCACGCCTGTAATCCCAGCACTTTGGGAGGCTGAGGCGGGAAGATCATTTGAGCCCAGGAGTTTGAGACCAGTCTGGGCAACATGGTGAAACCTGTCTTTACTAAAAATAAAAAAAATTAAGTCTGGGCGCGGTGGCTCACGCTTGTAATCCCAGCACTTTGGGAGGCTGAGGTGGGCGGATCACGAGGTCAGGAGATCGAGACCATCCTGACTAACACGGTGAAATCCCATCTCTACAAAAATACAAAAAATTAACTGGGCGTGGTGGCACGGGCCTGTAGTCCCAGCTGCTCCGGGGCGCTGCGCTGAGGCAGGAGAATAGCTTGAACCCGGAAGGCAGAGATTGCAGTGAGCCTAGATTGTGCAACTGCACTCCAGCCTGGGCGACGGAGCCAGACTTTGTCTCAAAAAAAAAATTTAGCTGGGCGTGGTGGCGCGCACCTGTAGTCCCAGCTACCCAGGAGGCTGAGGCAGGAGAATTGTTTGAATCGGGGAGGCAGGGGTTACAATGCAAGAATAGGACAAAGGTTGGTAACAGAAGCAAGAGGGGCTCATTCGATGGACAGGAGGCCCAAGATCAGGCCACTACCTTCAGCCTGGGCAACAGAGCAAGACTCTGTCTTAAAAAAAAAAAAAAAGAAAGAAAGAAAGAGGCCGGGCGCGGTGGCTCACGCCTATAATCCCAGCACTTTGGGAGGCCGAGGCGGGTGGATCATGAGGTCAAGAGATCGAGACCATCCTGGTCAACATAGTGAAACCCCGTCTCTACCAAAAATACAAAAAAATCAGCTGGGCATGGTGGCGCATGCCTGTAATCCCAGCTACTCAGGAGGCTGAGGCAAGAGAATTGCCTGAACCCAGGAGGCGGAGGTTGCGGTGAGCCGAGATCGCGCCATTGCACTCCAGCCTGGGTAACAAGAGCGAAACTCCGTCTCAAAAAAAGAAAGAAAGAAAGAAAGAAAGAAAGAAATGTCTAATCTGGTTCAGGCACAGTGGCTCACACGTGTAATCCCAGCACTTTGGGAGGCCTAGGTGGGTGGATCACTCAAGGTCAGGAGTTCAAGACCAGCCTGGCCAATATGGAGAAACCCCATCTCTACCAAAAAAATACGAAAATTAGCCAGGCATGGTGGCTTGCACCTGTAGTCCCAACTACTCGGGAGGCTGAGGCAGGAGAATCACTTGAACCCTCGAAGTGGAGGTTGCAGTGAACCAGGATCACACCACTGCACTCCAGCCTGGGCGACAGAGTGAGACTCCACCTCAAAAAAAAAAAAAAAAAAAAAAAGAATGCCTGATATGGTTAAGGAGAAATTGTGTTATTTCATGACCTAGTTTCTCAGGGCTTTGTAAAACAATCTAAGGGATTTGGGTTTCTTCCTGAAGCTAGTGGAGGACTACTGAGGCAGGAAGGGACAGGAGGAACAGTAACAATAGACTGGGGGAGAGTAAGTTGGGGCCAGCCAGTCAAGAGATACAGGAATACAGCCTCGTTGGTAGAGAGCTGGAGAGGAGGTGAGTAGGTTTCAGAGACTCTTTGGAAACAGAATGGTCAGAGCCAGTCATCAACAGAACATAAGAAGTGAGGCTGACTCCCCTCACTGAGACCCATTTTCTGCCATGGGTGACAAGGTGGTCAGGGGTGCAGTGCACCAAGGTGGGCTCTCTAAAGAAGGAGCAAGCGTGAGGGAGATGAGGAACTCCATCTCTGACATGTGCTGTGAGACATCAGTATAGACCAGCTCTGGAGCCTCCTAGACACAGAGATGTTACATCAACACCAAGGTTTAAACCTGTGGTAGGGGAAGAAATTGCTAAAGGAGAGAAGGTGGAATGAAAGGAGAAGGATGCTATAGAACACCACAGTCTAAGAAGCAGGTGAAGGAGGAGAAGGGGTTTGCAGAAGAGGTTGGAAAGGAGCCTGCAGATGAGAGTTGCAGAAAGGAGTGACCAGCAATCTTGAATGTGGCAGAGAAAAAGGGCGAGGACTGAAAGGTATCTGCTGGTAATATTAGGAAGATGTCAGTAGCCTTGGGTCAGGAGAGAAGCTAGGCTGCCATAGATGGGAAGGGGAGGTAGGAGCCAGCGCACAAAGACAAAGCTTCTAAGAAACCTGATTGAAAAGCCAGGCATGGGAGGCTGAGATAGGAGGATCACTTGAACCCAGGAGTTTGAGACCGACCTGGGCAACATAATGAAACCATATCTCTAAAAAATAAAAATTATTTTTTTTTACATGGAAGCAAGAACAGGTGGTAGCTAAATAGAGGTTCAGATGGGAGAAGAAGAGTTATTTTTTTTTAATAGGGGAAACCTGAGCTAGTGAACAGACTGGGGGAATGTTAAGAATAGGGCAGAGGTTGGTAACAGAAACAAGAGGAGCTGATGCGATGGACAGGAAGCCCAAGCAAGCACCTGGTGAGAACAGCCAAAGTTGTTGGGGGGGATAGTGGGCAGCTGGAGCAGGAAGTGGGAAGGTTCAACCTTTCTGGGAATATGAAGAGAGAAAGAGAGAGAGAGAGAGTGTGTGTGTGTGTGTGTGAGTGTGTGTGTGCATGTGTGTGTGTGTCCTCAGCTCTATACCCCACCTACACTGTTTCTTCTGAGGGAAGGGGCTTAGGCAGAAAGGAAGAAGCATCTATACTTGGAATGGGGATGGGGTGGCCCAACTTAGAGCCCACCCTGACAAGAGAGGAGACCACTCCCTCCCCCGCCACCTGATTTCAGAAAGGGAGGCTGGCTGGGTGGAGGGGCTAGGTGATGGAAGTCCTGGGAGGAACTTCCCTGGATCAGCCTGGTGCGAGGGAGCCTATGAAGGTTTTTGAGAGGGAAAGAAGGGAAGATGGCTTTAAAAGAAAGAGAGTACCTCATCCTTGCCTCCCTGCCTGTCAATATAACCCTTGGCTTATGTACTGGGGATGTGGGTGGGGTGGTTATTGTTTTAGAAACACCAGAACCGCCAGAAGTATGGGCTGTGTGTCATCTTCCTCTCCTGTACCATGATGCCCAGCTTTAAAGACCTGATCCAATTCGAGGTCAGCATCGGTCACTATGGGAACAAGATGGACCTGAATTACAAGCCTCTAGTATCAAGCACACAATACAGCCCAGTGATACATGATGGTAATTGTCAGACTCAGGCAAAGAATAGAGAGCAGCCACTGCATCCAGACCCTGTGCTAGGCTCTCTCAGGGGTATTAGCTCATGGAAGAGTCATAGGCATTATTTACCTATATTTCACACATGCAAAAATGAGGTTCAGAGAGGTGAAATCACTTGCCAGACTATGGCTAGCAGGTGGTGAACCCAGGAGTCGAAACTAGGTCTTAACATGAAGTCCTTCCTACATTGCTTTCCACACTACAACTTCTCCAAGCCCATCTTTTCCCCTACTACTGTGAACCACCTCCCATCCATCTATCCTCCAACCACCAATGCATGAATCCATCTATTTTTTATCCATCCATTCAGCCACTCAACTCCCACCCACCCACTTACCCAAACATCCAACCAACTAACCTTCCAGCCATTCATTCACTCATCCAGTACATACTTATTGAACACCTATATTGAGCACTATAGAGCAGCGGTTCTCAGAGAAACCCTGGGCCGGCAGCATCAGCATCACCTAGGAACTTGTTAGAAATGCAGATTCTTGACCCCACACTAGATCTACAGAATCTGATAACCTGGGGAAGAGACCCCACAGTCTGTGTTTTATCAAGCCCTCTAGGTGACTGGGGTGCATGCTCCACTTTGAGAACCACTGCTGCAGAGCATTACTGTCTCACTTTCATCTTTTTTCAGCTTTACTATCTCATCACCCATTCTGAGCCTTTCCATGCAACCTACTTCCCTACCTGTCGTTTTTTTAAAGGTTTATTGAGATATAATTCACAAACCATACAATTCGCCCATTTAACTTTGTACAATAGTTTTTCAGTATATTCACAGAGTTGTACAACCATCACCACAAATTTTAGAACATTTCCTCACTGGAAAAGGAAACCTATGCCCATTGGCATTCACCCCCCACTTATCTCCCACCTCCCCAGCCCCAGGCAACCACTAATCTATTTCTGTGATTGTAGATTTTCCTATTCCAGACATATCATATATGGAATGTATAATATGTGGTTCTTTGTGAATGACTTCTTTCACTTAGGGTGATCTACTTGATTTTTGTATTATGAAATATATATACAAAAGGCATATGAAATATGTATGTGTAGTTTAAAGAAGATTAATAAAATGAGGGAGGCTGAGGTGAAAGGATCACCTGAGCCTGGGAGGTGAAGGTTGCAGTAAGCTGAGATCGAACCACTGCACTCCAGCCTGGATGACAGAGTGAGACCCTGTTTAACCATAAAATAAGTAATAATAATAATGAAATGAGTGCCCATGAACTCAGCACCCAGCTTAAAATATAGAAAACTGTCAGCATCCTAGAAGGGGTCTCTGTTTACTCTTCCCAGGTCCCTTCACCCAAGAAGTAACCATGACCCTGACTCTTGGATTAATCATCTTCTCGCTTTTCTTTTTAATTCTTCACCTATGAATTAAATTCTAAACATCATGCTATTTTTATATATTACATAAATGGACTTTTTCCGTCTGTATTCATCTGTCTTACATTTTCTGCTCAATATTAAACTTTGTATGTGGGTTATGTGTACTGCAGTTCATTTTCACTTCTGCATATATTCCACAGTGTGCTTATACCACAAAGTATTGGTGTATGTAGACATTTAGGTTGTATCTTTTTTGCTATTACAATAATTTTGTTATAAACATTCTTGTGCGTGTCTCCTGATTACAAATCCAAGACTTCCTCTAAATTATATACATAGGAGTGGAAGAGAAACTCAAAGCAAAAGTGATTATACCAAGTTACACTCTCCTATGCATGGTATGAAAATTCCTGTTACTCTGCGTTCTCACCAGTACTTGATATTGCCCAGCCTTGTTTTTTTAAATTGAATTTTTTTCAAGATGGAGTCTTGCTCTGTTGCCCAGGCTGGAGTGCAATGGCGTAATCTCAGCTCACTGCAACCTCCACCTCCCGGGTTCAAGCAATTCTCCTACCTCAACTTCCTGAGTAGCTCAGACTACAGCGTGTGCCACCATGCCTGGCTAATTTTTGTATTTTTAGTAGAGATGTGGTTTTGCCATGTTGGTCAGGCTGGTCTCAAACTCCCAACCTCAGGTGATCTGCCCACCTCAGTGTCCCAGTGTGAGCCACTGCCTTTTAAGTTTTTCCCAATCTGGTAGATGTGAAATGGTACTCCACATGGGCTTAATTTGCATTTTTCTGATTATAAATGAGGATTGGGCATCTTTTCATATGTATACAGACAGTTGTTTTTCTTTATCTGCAAAAAAACCTATGCATATCTTTTATCCATTATTACATTTGGCTATATTTTTCTTATTTATTTGTACATTATTTGTTCCAGGAAACCATCTTTTGCCAAGATGTATGTTATAAATATGAAATATATTCTCCAAGTTTGTGAGGTGGTTTTTTATTCTTTTAGTGGCAACTTTTTTTTTTTTTTT